ATAGCATCTGCACTGATCACTACAGTGCCTCGTGTACATTAGGTGCTCAATAAACACAGGACGGATGAATGGTCGAGCTGGGAGAACGTGATGTCTGAAAGGAAGCCTAAGAGCCTCCCCGCCCACCCACCCACCCCCAATACACACACATACAATTACAATTACAGTTAGGTAAAGGGAAGCCCAGAGAGGCTTTAGCGGCTCACCCAGCCCCCGTGGGCCTGGATCCAGGGCGCAAAGCTGTGCACGTGCTCTACGCTGAGACCGGCCAGGGTGCCCCCCAGCCTGGCCACGCGCCGGCTCAGCTCCATGGCCAGGGCCAGGCGGGCCAGAGGCTCCGGGGAAGGCGGTGGGGGCCCGGGGCACGGCAGCGAGGGGCGTGCTTGGCTCGGGCGAGGGTTGCCCTCCCGGCTAGAGAAGAGCTCCACTAGGCGGCTGAAGGAACCGGCGGAGAGGCGGGCCAGCTTGCGCCGCAGGGCGGGGTCTGAGGCCAGCTGTGGGCCGGGGAGGAAGAGGCAGGGTCTGCCTCAGTCACACCCTCGTAGCCAGCCAATGGGAGGCTGGGAGGCGTGGCTTCAAGAGCTCTAGCTATAACGGACGCCCTAAGCCACGCCCCTATCCAGCACATCTGCCAATCATAAACGAGACTATATGATCTCGGCCAAACTACTCGCAGCAAGATGGCCTAGAACCGGAGAAGCCACGCCACGCCACGCTCCTGACAAGGCCTCGACAGCCAATCAGGACCAAGCCCTGTATTAGCTGTGTTCTAGCATGCTAACATTCTAGCCACGTCCCTGTGGGCTTCCCCGAAGGCCAAGCCAGTGACGACGGCAACCTTGCCTTCTACCAGACAATGAATATTATAAGGCCATACACTTTGCCCAAGCTCCTGACCTAACCTGATTCCAGGACAGAGTCACAAGCCACACTCCCTCCGGCAGTCCATTTCCCCCATGTTCTAAGCAACGTCCCTATATAGTCAATCAGGGTTTCAGATTTTAGACAGCTGTCTTCAAGCTACCCCCTCCTCCCTTTTCCATCACCATACATTCCCTTACCGACTCACCTCGTCCAATCTCCTTCCTAGAACAGTTTCTGGTGGCCACACCCCTCTGCCTTCATGCCACGCCCCTTTGACGATCAAAGAAGTCACTAATTTAAAGTATTGCCCTGGTTTACCTGTCACTCACCCCTTCACTGAAGACTTGTCCCACCTTCTCCCCACCTGACCATCCAATGAGAATGCAGATCCAGCTTCAGGTCCCAGTGCGGAACCATGCCGCAACTCCTATCCTAGCTAAGCGATGGAACAGACCACCCATCACCTTCTGGTTGATGACTTCTGCCTCTTCCTCCAGCAAGGCCACCAGCTTTCGCAGCAGGGCTTCCTTCTCTGTGGGTGCGTGACCCTGTAATTCTGGGGGGCAGAAGAGAATTTGGCTGGGGGCAGAACCCTGGCGACCCTTCTACCCTCATCCTTCTCCAGGGCCCTTCTGCACCTCACCTGGGCTAGGTGGGGATTTCAGTTGCTCTTGGACCAGCTGTTCCAGCCGCTGGGCCACCAGGGCATAGAAATCTGGAGTAGCTGGGCCTGGGATGAAAAGAGCCAATGATGGGTCTTCAGGACATAAGGAACTTAGGTATTCTCTCCTCCCAACCATCTTGCCAGGTAGCAATGATTTCCATTTCAGAATGGGATAAATTGAGGCCCAGTGAGCAAACTTGGTAAAAGACCCTTTTACTTTTCCCCAAATTGGACTTCGAAGGTTTGAGCTGAACTGGACCTTGAAGATTATCCCATCTAAGGAAGGCACACACATGGCACTCCAGCTATTACCACTCTATCCCTTGCCCATTTCAGGCAACAACTCATCACAGAACTCTTCTCCCCAGCTGTGAAATCCTCTCCAAGTGAGCACTCCCAGTAGCCATTGCTTGTCTATCCAGTATCACATATGAGAAGAAACCTACTGGTCGCTCTTGATCAAGTCCAGTATCCACCACCCACCCCCCCGCATTCCTACTTTGCTACTGGAGAAAAGGACTCATGTAACCAAAACAGCCAGGGAATTGTGACTGGAAATCAGGTTTCCTGCCTCCCTATTGGGGTTACTGGTGGCTACAAAAGTCTTAGGGGCAAGGAAGCATGTGTAGAAAGAGAGATAACAAATAGAAAGGCACTAAAACGAAGTGAGAGAGTGGCATGGACATATATACACTACCAAATGTAAAATAGATAGCTAGTGGGAAGCAGCCGCATAGCACAGGGAGATAGGCTCGGTGCTTTGTGTCCACCTAGAGGGGTGGGATAGGGAGGGTGGGAGGGAGACGCAAGAGGGAGGGGATATGGGGATATATGTATATGTATAGCTGATTCACTTTGTTATACAGCAGAAACTAACACACCATTGTAAAGCAATTATACTCCAATAAAGACGTTAAAAAAAAAAAAAAGGAAAGAAAGAAAGAAAGGCACCCAAAGCCCTCCTGAAGCCTGCTCACAGAACTGACAGATAGTAAACCAACTGGGGGTCGGGGGTGAGGGTAGGTGCTGGAGATCCCCCACAGCTACCCCCTTAGCTGAGTGGTCCTGAACTAGTTCCTTATCCTCTCTGTGCTTTAAGAATCAAAGCTGCCAGTTCTTGGGTGATCGAAGGAAATCTCTTACCAGGCTCTGAACCATAGCATGGCCGGAGGGGCAGGGAGCAAGGCCGAGGGGACTCAGGGGGAACTGCTCCTCGCCCCAGGGAGCAGGGAAGACATCTTCGAAGGCGGCTCAGGAAGTCTGTTGGCTCCTCTTGGGCAGGGCTCCTGGGGAAGGGGACCTCAGAGAGTGACCCCAAAGGCCCTTTGCAAGCAGTCCCTTTGTCCTCCCACTGAGGGCCTTTCCCTGCAACCCTCAGGACAAGGAGTGGAGCCAGATATAAAGAGGGGGGGAAAGGAGACAGACTGAGTCCAGGAGCAAGAGTTGGAGGGGCCCAGCCCAAATGCCGTTCCCTGAGGGAGGAGGGCAACTCCTCTTACCTGGGTGGGGTCGGAATGGGAGACCCCGCAGCCTCACCCCTACTTAGGAAGGCAGCTAGGACCCTCAGCGTGTCCTCTCGGAGCCCCAGTTCTTCCGAGCCTGCCATGGGGGCACCTGTGAGAGAGGGAGCTGGAGGATGGGCTCCAGGGTTCAGTGGGAAGTAGAGGCTGGGGACCCAAATTCCTAGTCCCCGAATGAGGAGGGGGCCAGGACTTGTGAGTCCCCAAAGAGGGAAGGGGCTGAGGGTCTGCATTCCCAGGTCCTCTACGGGAGTTGGGGGTCTGGGGGCCCAGACGCTTAAGCCTCCAGATGGAGAACAGGGATGAGGAGGAAGACACCTTGATCCTGGGAGAGAAGGCTAGGGATCCGGATTCTTGGGTCTAAGGGAGGAGAGGCTGGGGGCCTGGACTCTTGAGTTTTCGGAGAAGGCGACTGGGGGTGTGAACTCTTGAGTCTAAGAGAGAAGGGGGCGGGGGCCTCAGAATTCTGAGTCCTCGAGGGAGAAGGGGGCTTGGGGACTTCTTGATTCTGGAGGTATATGCCAAGCTGCTCACGTCCGTAGAGGGTCGAGAACTACCAATCCCAGCAGGTTTCAGAGCAAACATTCCCCTCCGTCCGTTAGTGGTTCGCCTCGCAGCCTGCTGGGAGTTGTAGTTCCACTCTCTGAGGCTAGAGTTTGGGAGACCCAGGACACTCGGAATTCGGAGAAGCGGGACTGAGTTGCCCCCTCCTGGATCCCGGCTCCCTCTTCTTTCCTCCTCACCTAGCCCACGCTAACGTCCCGCTCACCTGGTCCCGGGCCCCGCCGCCGCCACCTCCTCCACTGAACTTGTATAAACTTTCTTCTCTTAGTTCAACTTTCCCGCGCCTGCGCACTGGGCCGGGTTGGTGACGGCCCAAACGTAGAGGGGAGGAGCGTTGGGTCCCGCCTAATTTGCATGTGACGTTCCCAGCATGCCCGCGGTCGGAAGGCCTAAAAAGGGCATGGGGTTGGGGGGGGGCGACGCCCGCGCTTACCGAGCAGCCTCTTTGGTTTTGGAGTCACCCGTACGACGGTGAAGTCGTTTTTATTTCAGGAAATCCATAGAAAAGGAAGCCCCACCTCTAAAGCTCAGCTGACCGGAAGTGGTGTGTGCCGCTGAGAGTTCGAGAGTTACGAGACCCCAAAAACAGACGTGGTTGGAGCACTCTGCGCGCCCCGACCCACCACATAGGAAACGTAGGTAACTGGGGAGTAGGTGGCGTCCAGAGGTGAGGAATCGGAGAAAGGATGGGTCTACACTGACAGTGGAGAAGGGCGGTTGTGTAGTCTGGGGGAAAGTGAAGCAAGAAAGACTGGCGGCGAGATCGGCTGTAAAGAAAGCAAACGTAGAAGAAGTAGCGGAGAGGAGGCGTCTACACGGGGGGATCTAGGGGAGAGATGGACGGACTGTAAGAATGGGAGGCAGTCCACTCTAGAAAGTGGGGACGTGCTCTGGAGGAGGGAGGCTGTCTGTTTGGGAGGGACTGTGGATGGTCCACGGTGGGAATGGGTGAGGGGATCATCGGGACGGGGTGGAATTGTGAAAGGGGGTCTACCGTGGGTAACTGCGGGAGGTAGCGGTCTAGTGTCTGTATTGCAATAACTAGAGGGAGGGCTCTACCCTGGAAGTGGGAGTACCTGCCTTGGGTGATGGGGGAAGAACGGGCTTTCAGTGGAAGAGGGAAGGTGTACACGGGCGCAATTGAGGGAGGTAGAGGTATCTACACAGAAGAAGCTGGGAAAAGGAGGGGGGGGTGTAAAATGGGCTTGGGAGGGAGTTCTCGCTGAATTAGAAAGGCTCGCTGGAAGATGGGAGAAGGTCTCCTGTTTGTACCCCAGGAAACTATAGGTGAGAGACCTGCGCCGTGGCCCGTGAGGGAGGTCTGGGTGTGGAACCTCCGCACGGGGTGGGCCTGGGAGGCCGCCTGTACCTAGGACCTGTTCTCTGCGCGCAGGCCGGACCATGGGAACACAAAAGCCCCGCATCCTGCCCTGGCTGGTATCTCAGCTGGACCAGGGGCAGTTGGAGGGCGTGGCCTGGCTGGATGAGAGCCGCACGCGCTTCCGCATCCCTTGGAAGCACGGCTTGCGGCAGGATGCCCAGCTGGAGGACTTCGGCATTTTCCAGGTGCGGGCGCGCCGGGCGGGGTGGACTCCGAGGGGGCGGAGGTGGACTCCGAGGGGGCGGGGCCGAGAAGGCGGGATTAGCAAGCATGGAGAGGCCTGCTCTCATTTTGACAGACTGAGGTGGGTGGAGTTAGAACGGGAAGGGGTTTAGTTAGTAGGATCCACGGACTGGTGTCGGAGAGCAGTCAGGATTAGAGCTGCCAGGTTCCGGTAACGGAATCGGGAAAGTGAAGGAAATGCATCCTGGGGAGTCCGGGGCCGGGGTGGGGCTCTTGGTTGTAGAATTTCTGGTGGCCGGTCTTGAAATATTAGAGGCGAGACTTGGCCCTGAAGCTGTGGTTTCTTACCACCAAAGTAGGATACACCGGTGGTGGTAAGCCGAGTTACAGAGCGAGGGGGCGGGGTTATTACAGAGGGTGTCATGGGGCAGGTTGGTGGCAGAGTTAAGACACCCATTAAGACCTGGAAGGCTGGCTTAGAAAGCAAAGGTTTTTGAAGGGTGGTGGTAGGGGGATTCGGGGCGCACAGAATCTGAGAGTTTGGGGATGGAACCTTGCCAAGTTAGAACGTGTCGGGGGACGACGGTGTAAGGACAAGAGGAGACAGGGTTGGGGCCCCTGGGGCAAGGTCTAAGTCATCCTCTCCACTATCTTGGTACCACTGGTACCCTAGGCCTGGGCTGAGGCCAGTGGTGCCTACACTCCTGGGAAGGATAAGCCGGACCTGCCCACCTGGAAGAGGAATTTCCGGTCCGCCCTGAACCGGAAGGAAGCGTTGCGTTTAGCAGAGGACCACAGCAAGGACCCCCACAACCCGCACAAGATCTATGAGTTTGTGACCTCAGGTGTGCTGGAAGTGAGGCTTCACTTAGAGGGATGGGATTTCGAGTGTCCCCAGCGCCCCCACTCCACTCCACTCCCCACCTTTCTCCACAGGAGTTGGGAACTTAGCTGAGCCAGACACCTCTCTAGACACCAATGGCAGATGTACCTCTGATATCCAGGTAAGAATGCGCCCCGACCATCCTGCTCTCAGTCTCTGCCCCATCCCCTCTCTGCGTTCTCATGGGCCTATTCAGGCCTCATCTTCCCCTGTACCATCACCCCAGGCTCCATGCTGTCCCCTGCAGTCTGTCCCCAACCTGACTCAGTGCTGACCCTGTCCCCCCACCCCCTGCCCACAGCCCTCCGTGGCTTCCCAGCATCCTCAGGAGAAAACTCAGAGCTTTCAGCAGGCATTCAAGGCCCTAATCCACCTTTCTAGGATTTAATAGCTTTCCTCCCTGTGCAGGGTTCTCTCAGCGTTTTGGGAACTCAGAACCTCTCTCTCCTTGATCTTGCTGATGTCTGTGCCAGGGGAAGTCCCCTCTGAAATTCTTCCCAGCCCTCTCTGCCCGGGTCTTGCTTGCAGAGAGCCAGATCCTTGGGTGGAATTAGCTGCTCCCCTCGGGCCACTGTAGTGCCCGGCATACATCAAAGCTGTACATACTTTACTGTCTGTGTGCCCCAGGTTAGAAGCCCCTTGAGGGCAAAGCTCAGGTCTGCCTCCTCTCTGGGTCCCCACATCGCTGAGCACAAAGCTTGGTCCATGGGAAGTCTCCAGAAAAGGCTGTGGAAATACCAGGATCCTTTTTTTTTTCCTCTCCAGGAAGACATTCTGGAGAAGTTACTGAGTGACCTGGACTTGGCCCCAGATGGAGGGCCCTCAAGTCTGACCATGGCCCCTGAGAACCCCCCTCAGCTCTTGCTGAGCCCCAACTTAGATGTCCCTGCTCCTTGCCCAAAGCCGGGACCCCCTGAAAACCCACTGAAGCAGCTGTTGGTGAGCGAGGAAGGTGAGCGCCAGCTGTGGGTGGGAGGGGTTAGGGCTGGGCCATAAGCCCCCTGACGTTCCCTCATTCTCTCTCCCCTTCACATTACTGCTGCTGCTGCTCAGAGTGGGAGTTCGAGGTGACTGTCTTCTACCGGGGCTGCCAAGTCTTCCAGCAGACTGTCTTCTGCCCGGGGGGCCTGCGGCTGGTGGGATCAGAAGCAGGGGATAGGACACTGCCTGGGCAGCCAATAAGACTGCCAGACCCCGCGGCGTCCCTGACAGACAGGGGCGTGACAGACTACGTGCAGCGGGTGCTGAGCTGCCTGGGCGGGGGACTAGCTCTGTGGAGAGCTGGGCAGTGGCTCTGGGCCCAGAGGCTGGGGCACTGCCATGTGTACTGGGCCGTGGGCGAGGAACTCCTCCCCAACAGTGGTCACAGGCCTGATGGTGAGGTGCCCAAGGACAGGGAAGGAGGCGTGTTCAACATGGGGCCCTTCATAGCAGGTGAGTGAGGTGGGGCTTTAGCTCTGCTGTGGAAACGGCAGGCAATGGTGGTTAAAAACTCTGGGGTCAGGAGGTTTGGGATCGAATTCAGACCCTGCTGCTCTGCTTGTGGTTGAACCTGTGGGGAGAAGGACTGGACTGCTCTGAACCTGTGGAGTCTAAGGACTGTCTCCTCTCTCTCACCTGCCCAGAGCTGGCAGGAGGCACAGGGCCCAGCGTACAGAAGGTGCTTCGGGGAATTAGCTGCCATAGTTGTTACCATTTATTACAATTATGGTGGAAAGACATGCAGGAGAAAGGAATCCTTTAGGGCTTTGCTCTCCAAACAGACCTTTCTGCAATGATGCAAATGCTCTGTATTTCCACTGCCCAATATGGTATCCACTAGCTACATGTGGCTACTGAGTACTTAGATGAGGTGAGTGCAAATGAGGAAGTGAGTTTTTTAAGTTTTATTTGATTTGAATTAGATACAATTAAAAATAGCCATGGTGGCTAATGGCTACATATTGGACAGCATGGCCTTGAAGGGTTAAAGAGCAGTAACCACCAACCACCTTATACTCCAGAATCACTGAGCATCCTTGGGGGAGTGGACTCCCCTCCTGGGCCTGTTTCCCCATCCAAATGCTGAGGCTCCAGGAGGTGTGTGTGGAGGCCTAGCTTCCAGCCCAGCCCTGATGGAAGGGAGGAGGAACATTTCAGCTTGTGTCAGAACTGGAGGGACTTTCCCCAAATCAACAGCCCCCTGGTCATGGTGGCAGAGATATGTTGAGCTTTAGATCAGGGAAGAAGATGAGGATGTTACTGAGGTTTTGGGGGAGCAGGGAGGGGCAGGTAGAGGGTCTTCTTCCCATCCCTGACTAGGTTCCTGGGCCCCCAGATCTGATTGCCTTCATCGAAGGAAGCAGACGCTCACCACGCTACACCCTCTGGTTCTGCGTGGGGCAGTCATGGCCCCAGGACCAACCATGGATCAAGAGGCTCGTGATGGTCAAGGTACTGCAGCCCCAGGCTCCTGGAGCTGATGGGTAGATCCTAAAAGGGAGGAGGTTGCTTCTGGGAACTACAACTCCCACAGTTCCCTCGGAGAAACTACAACTCCTAAGAGCCTCTGCAAGTACCAGTTCCTCCTCAGGAGCTTCTGGTGTCCCTCCCACGGCCTCACCCCCAAAGCCTATATTTGCGTTCTCCCAACCATGTGAAAGTCGGTGGACTACAAGTCCTAGCAGCCTGTGTGAGGTACTACAGCTCCCAGGAGTGCTTCTGATCACAAGCTGCTCAGCTCTAGCTTCCAGGAACCCTTCAGCAGCCTCAGCCCTAAGAACCATTTATGGTCTCCCCTGGTGGTGAATATGGGGAAAACTGTAACGCCCAGCAGCCCTGGGCCTAACGGTTCATCCTGGGTTACAGTGGGGGCTGTCGGGAATTGTAGTCTACTCAACCCATCCCCGACAGTAGACGGTGCTGGGTGTTTCCCCTGACTGTTTCTCCCCCACCTCCCTCAGGTTGTCCCCATGTGCCTCAGAGCCCTGCTAGACATGGCGCGGGTAGGGGGTGCCTCCTCCCTGGAGAACACTGTGGACCTTCACATTTCTAACAGCCACCCACTCTCCCTCACCTCAGACCAGTACAAGGCCTACCTCCAGGACCTGGTCGAGGACATGGACTTCTAGGTCACTGGGGAGGCCTGAGCCCTCACCTTCCACCTCAGCCAATAAACTGGCTCCGGCCATGGTCATCACTTGTCTGTCTGGTGTTCACTGTCCCTGGGCCAGCCCTGACCCAAGTTGGGGGTTATTCCTTCTTAAGGCCCGTTTATCCATCTGTGCAAGCCACTCATATCCTAGGTGCTCACTGCATAAAGGCCAGGCACTGTGCAGGGGGCAGCTGACACTCCTTACCTCTTCCCTGTGGCCTGGTGAGTAGGTGACAGTCACCCCCATTTTATAGACCAAGACACTGAGGCTTAGAGAGGAGGAAAGTTCACAAAGTAGGAAAATACAAGACAGGTCAGAATCCAGGTCTGACTCTAAGGTTGCCACTCTTTGAGGGCGACCTTGGGGCTCAATCTGGAATGCCCATCTTGCCTATGAACAGTTCAGGCCGACGTCCAGTAAGCACAGAGCCTTTCGCCTGACTGTCCTGCCTGTCAGGGGCCTTGGGTCCCCTCCCAACTCCTGCTAGGTGACCTCAGGCAAGTCCTTCTCCTTTCCGGGCCCTGGGCTCCCCTCCACGTGGGCCTGCGAGGGCCAGTTGTAAAGGAATTCTGAGCCCACCCCCAATCGGAACCCACCCTCCCCCCGCAGCCTGGCTGCACCCACCTCTCCTCACAGCGCCTGGGTTCTGGGTAACAGGGACTGATGGAGGCCAGCACAGCCCTGATTCACTGTGTGGCCCTTGCTGCTCCGTGCCTCAGTTTCCCTCTCCATCTCGGGGGAGTCAATTAGATCACCCCAGCCTCATAGGACTGGTAAAAAAAAAAAAAAAAAAAAAACTGAATGGAGGACAAAGATCCTGTTTCTGGGGCAATTCCAAGGTTAGACAAATAGCACCTAGAGGCCCTGAGCTGGGCAGACACTGGTCAGGTGGGGCAGGGACCTCTCCCTCCCGTCACCACCACTCTCTATCAGTAGCAACGGCTTCCTATGTGCGAGGTCCGGTTCTAAGTGCTTCACCCGCCTGTGTCTTTCCTAATCCTCACAACACCCACTTTATAGACGAAGAAACAGGCCCAGTGAGAGGAATGCACTTTTCCCAAGTCACACCGTCTACTTCCCCGCTAACCACGCTCACACCTGGGCCAAGGCTCCTCCCCAACACTTTCCCAAACTGAACTCTGAAAAGAAGGCTAAAAGTCCTGGGGCTCAGGGATAACATTTCATGAAATCTTTAATGAAACTGGGGTAGGGGCACGAACAGAGGGGAGGGGCAATGGGCACAGGCTTGGGGCGAGGGAGATGGCAGTGGGGCTGGGCAGGGGGCTCTCCTCTTTCCCGCAGCAACCCTCCCCCAATCATCCCACTGACAGGGGAGGGACGTAGGGAAGCAGAGCCATAAATACGTCCAGAATTCCAGAGAGGCAGCGAAGGAGGAAAGGGGCGGCTGGGGATCTCAGAGAGGGGGCAGGGGCAGGCCTGGGCCGCCCTTGTCAGGGGGTCCCGGCTCCTTGGGCTGCCTTGGGGGCCCCGGGGGGTCCCCTGGCTTGCGGCCGTGCTTGCGGAAGTAGCGGTAGCGTTGGACGTAGGCGCGCACCAGGTTGCTCACCTTCACCGGGTTGATCTCCCCACTTTTGCTGTGGCAGATCTGGGGGGCAAGGGGCAGCTGCAGTCACCGCCAGCCCCCATGGTCCCCTGCACCTGGACTGCTGAGCGCAGCTGGGGACTGGGATGGGAACCCCTCCGCCAAAATCCAGGCCAACGTCCCTACTTGTCCCCCGATGCCAGCAGAACAGGCCCAGGTGGGCTTGAGGCATCCTGTCACCCTCTCGCCTTCCAGAGTGGCCCACTGCCCCTCTGTCTCCCCATCTCTGTACGCCTGTCTGCTCACGTCCATCACTCCGTCTCATCCTCTCCCCACCTCGCGCCTCTTGTCCCCCTCTGGGCCCCACCTTGTGGACGGCCTTCCTCAGGATGTCCTTGTACTCCTCCTTGGTGATGTCCTTCTTCTGGTAATACGGCTTGATGGCCAGCTTCACCTCCTCTACTGCCCGCTCCTGCGTGTGCAGCTTCTTCAGATACTGGCGAGGGTGGCGACAGTGAGAAGAAGGGACAGCAAAGGCCAGGTGAGTTACTGCAGAACCCCTACCTCCACTCACCTGCCCACCAGCTCCGACTTCTTGACCATCCAGCTACTCCCAGAGGTGGAAATCCTGCTTAGGGTCTGCCCTGTTCTCCCCTTGCTACAGTCGCCCCAGACGGGCCTCTCAATGTCACTAGCATCTCCTCCAGGCTGGACCCTGGGCTGTCCCAGGCGTCCGTGACCAGAACCCATGTGTCCCCTGCCCTTACAGTCTGGTAGGGAGACAGACCTGAGCCAGGCGGCTATTCCCTACCATCCCAGAGAAGATGGGGGCAGGTAAACTGAGGCCTGGGAAGGGCAGGACACCCCAGACTTCAGGGCCAATATCTCCCATGAAACACAAATGCCAACTGTCGGGTGAGCTACTGAGCTGCTGGGGGAGCCACGGCCACCCCGGGGGGACTCCTCAGGCCTCCCTAGCCCCACAGGAGTGGGTTTCTAAATATGCGGCCAAGAGAAAGGGATTGTGGCCTGCACCCATCTCATATGTGGTGAGAGAGGACGATGGCAGAGAACAGACAGGGCAGCCTCACTGGCGAACAGGGACCTGCTGCTCGTCCCAGGGCCTGTACTGTCCCTGTCCCGCAGCCCATGGCACAGGCCATGGACAAGTACGCATCAAAGCTGTGGCCCCACCTCCATTTATACGGGGCTTATAACACGGGGGTTTGTTCTGCTTTCCTTCTGGCTCTGTATGTGGGGTGCGAAAAGGGTGAGCAGCGCCATCATCTGGTGACAGGACCATAGCGACCAGCATCCAGACCCACCCAAAAGGTACACAGCCCCAAGGCCCAGGAGGAGGAGCCAGATGTAGTGCGGGGAGGGGGTGCCTGTTTGCCCTGCACCCATTCTTCCTCCCTCTGTCCAGGAACAGATGCTTGATTTTTTGTTTGTAAACCACCCTGAGCCCCCCTTACACAAAAAGATCGGGGTGAGAGAGAGAGGTATAGATGACCAAAGAGTAGACTGTAGTAGGTATATGTATAAATATGCGTGTGTTTATATCCATATCTATTTCTCTCTTTCTCTCCCTATCTCCATCCCATCTCTATAGGAAATTCTTTAAAAACCTGTCTAGCACCCCTTTCCCAATCATCTAATCAAGTGAAAGTTTAGTTCCTTACAATTTAGTGATTTCAGTTTTATCTAAGTCCTCATCTGCTGGCATCAGTCTCTGGCATTCTCCTCGGGCCCCTGCATCTCAGTATCTGCCTGCGTTCTCTGCAAAACTGTCACCACTAACCCACCTCTCCCAAGCCCAGTTCACCTTGTCTGTGTCACCACGTCCCTCGGAGCTGCTGCTGCCCTCTCTCTTGTCAGACGCTGCAGCCAGCCCAGTGGGGGTGGGAGGGGTAGAGCCACAGCCCCCCAGGGGGAGGCTGCCAGGGAGCAGGTAGCTGGAGGGGCCAGGGGGCAGACCCAGAGAGGTGGGCACAGGAGCTGGCGTCACCCCCAGACTTGAGGGGGGCTTCCTGTGGCTGAGGATCTGTGGGAAAAGGTTGGAGGATAAGCAAAGGGAGGTGGAGGGGAGGACGGAACATGTATCCCTATTCCCACCCCGATTTCCCAACAGTCCCAGAGGCAACAGGCTCCTCTTCTGGCAGATACCTTGCCCCAAAGCCTGCTGGGAGCTGAAGTTCCTCTCCTAACCCGAAGCAGGGGACAAGAGAAGGGGCTGCGGGGACTCTTCCCCCAAGGAAGCCCACCTGGTTGGTGGCCTGGATCAGCTCCTGGGCCTTTGCTCGGCTTGCCAGATTGGCTTCTTCCATCTTGAAGAGAAGTGCAGTCACTGCAGTAGATGGAGAGTGGACGACAAGGAACGGGAGTTGACGCAAGAGAAGAGGGTGACCCTCACCCAGCCACGTGCCACCTCCTGCCCCGGGCCCCCAGACAGGCTATAAGGTCTCAGGCTCATAACTGGGAAAAGGGGCCTCAGCCACCAAGAGAACCAGCCCACACCCTGTATGTTCTTAGGACTCAAGGTGTGTGGGGGGCAGGGGTGGGGGTGGCGTGTGGCCAAGGTCACACAGTGACGAGTTGGTCCCGAGCCCCCATAGCCTCTCTCCCCACCTCTGCAGTCTAGCAAAGGCTCCTGCCATCCCTGAAGGGACACTGCTCCCTGCTCCCTGATTCCGGTCCCTCCAAGCCTACCCCAGTCTACCTCTAGGTGGACCCCAGGACACACCCCACTCCAGGCTCCTGCCATCCCTGAAGGGACACTGCTCCCTGCTCCCCGATTCCGGTCCCTCCACCAAGCCTACCCCAGTCTACCTCTAGGTGGACCCCAGGACACACCCCACTCCTCCAGTCTCTTCTGGACTGGCTGCCCGCTGCTCCCATCTGCCCAGTGCTCTCCCAGTGCACCCAAACATCGTGGAGCCTTCTGGACAGACCCTGACTGACTCTCACCCACCCAAGGCCCTCCCGGTCCTGGTCACTACACCCACCCCTTCCAAGGTATCTCCACTGCCTCCAAGTTTGTCCCCATATGACCTCCTCCTCCCTGATCCTGTCTGTCCACCCTAATGTGCCCCGGACCCCCAGGGGACACTCACAGGCCAGGACACCGCTGGTAGTGCAGTCTACACCAGCGGGCAGGTTCCAGGGCATGGGTGGGGGCAGCGTGGGCAGCTGGGAGACACGGGGGGCTGGCCCATCCTCTGCCCCCGAGTCGCCAGCCGTGGACCCCGCACTAGGGGCGGTGCTGGGAGCGGCAGCAGCCGTGCTGGTGGCCGTGCTGGTGGCCGGCTGCTGCTCCTCCTCCTCTTCCTCCTCTTCCTCCTCCTCCTCCTCCTCCTCCTCCTCCTCCACCCCACCTCGGACTCCAGCCTCCTCAGCGGCCTCTTCTGGCAGGAAGGAGACCTCAGGTGTCTTGCAGCTGCTATCCACAGTCTGCGAGTCGGGTGTGAGAGCAGGGGGTGGAGGGGCCGCCTTGGGGGGCGGGGTGCTAGGGGCCTTCACTGCCCGCTCGTCCCCGGACCAGGAAGTCTCCTCGGCCCCTTTGGCTCCCGCCGCCTGGCTGCAGCTATCCGCCTTGGACTTCTTCAGCGTCACAGGGCCGCCGCTGCCCCCGCCGCTGCGGATCTTTTTCCTGGTCTTGGATGGCTTGGTCTTTCCCTTGGTCCCCTTGGCTTTCTTGGCCCCAGCCTTGGCCTTGACCTTGGTCTTTTTGGGCTTGGTGCTGCCCTGAGCTGCTTTGGCCACCTCAGTAGGGGCCCGCTCATCCGGCTTGAGGAAGGGGGAGCGGCTCTCTCGGTCTCGGCTGAACTTGACTCCGATGGAGCCCAGGCCAGCAGATGTGGCCTCCTTGGCTGGTGTGGTGCTGCTGACACCCTCTCGGATCAGCACGGCCACCTTGGACTGTAGCTTCACCTTCCGGGAGGATGAGGAGGACGATGAGGACGAGGAGCCTGAGCCGCTGCTGACAGGTGGCTTTGGCGGGGGCCCTGAAGACGGCGCCAACTCCTTGGGGGGCCGGGCCTTCTTGGATGACCTGTCCCTGTCCCTATCTCTGTCCCTGTCCCGGTCCCGATCCCCCCCATCCAGTGCCTTCCGCCGTGATCCCTTCTCCCGAGAGGAAGAGGAGGAGGAGGCAGCCCCAGAGCGGCGCCGGTCCTTCTCACTGCTCTTGCCTCCCCGCTCCTCCGCGCTCAGTCCCTCGGAGTCGTATAGGACCTCGCGCTTGGGCGATGAGGCCGGAGCCGGTGAGGGGCCTCGGGGGTCAGGCTTGTCCGGCCGGCCCACGGTGATGGTCCGCTTGATGGCAAAGAGATCGTGGTCCGTGAGGTCCTGGATGGAGGGCGGCACGGCCCCCCGGCGGCGGCTGTCGCGCTCTCCGCCCAAGGAGGTGGAGCCAGAGGGCGGCTGGGCCGGGGCAGGGCCCTTCTCACTGTCCCCAGACCGCTTCTCGCCCCGGGACCGCGACCGCTTCTTCTTCTTCTTGCTGCCGCCGCCATCCCGGTGCTTGCCGCGGTGCCGCTCGCGCCTAGAAGACGACGACGAGGAGGTGGCCGGGGGCGGGGAGTTCGAGCGCCGCCGCCGCCGCCGTTTCTCCCGAGACCGGGACCTGCGGCTGCCCCCGCGGCGCCGGTCGGTGCTCCGCGAGCGGCGGCGGGCGGAGCGGGACCGCGAGCGGCGGCGGGCGGACGACGAGGCGTGGGAGCCCGGCTTGCGGTCCCGGGAGCGGTGCTTCTTGGAGTCCCAGGGGGAGGCCGGGGCCGGCGCGGCGGGCTGCGCGCCGGAGGAGGACGAGGCGGCTTCCTTGGCCTCGCCGCCGCTCCTCTTGCGCTCCCGCCTCGACTTCTTGCGGGTGGGCGGGCCAGTGGGGGCAGCGGAGGCGGGGGCGGCGGACGTCCTCCTCTTCCTCCTCTTCCTCCTCCTCCTCCTCCTCCTCCTCCTCCTCCACCCCACCTCGGACTCCAGCCTCCTCAGCGGCCTCTTCTGGCAGGAAGGAGACCTCAGGTGTCTTGCAGCTGCTATCCACAGTCTGCGAGTCGGGTGTGAGAGCAGGGGGTGGAGGGGCCGCCTTGGGGGGCGGGGTGCTAGGGGCCTTCACTGCCCGCTCGTCCCCGGACCAGGAAGTCTCCTCGGCCCCTTTGGCTCCCGCCGCCTGGCTGCAGCTATCCGCCTTGGACTTCTTCAGCGTCACAGGGCCGCCGCTGCCCCCGCCGCTGCGGATCTTTTTCCTGGTCTTGGATGGCTTGGTCTTTCCCTTGGTCCCCTTGGCTTTCTTGGCCCCAGCCTTGGCCTTGACCTTGGTCTTTTTGGGCTTGGTGCTGCCCTGAGCTGCTTTGGCCACCTCAGTAGGGGCCCGCTCATCCGGCTTGAGGAAGGGGGAGCGGCTCTCTCGGTCTCGGCTGAACTTGACTCCGATGGAGCCCAGGCCAGCAGATGTGGCCTCCTTGGCTGGTGTGGTGCTGCTGACACCCTCTCGGATCAGCACGGCCACCTTGGACTGTAGCTTCACCTTCCGGGAGGATGAGGAGGACGATGAGGACGAGGAGCCTGAGCCGCTGCTGACAGGTGGCTTTGGCGGGGGCCCTGAAGACGGCGCCAACTCCTTGGGGGGCCGGGCCTTCTTGGATGACCTGTCCCTGTCCCTATCTCTGTCCCTGTCCCGGTCCCGATCCCCCCCATCCAGTGCCTTCCGCCGTGATCCCTTCTCCCGAGAGGAAGAGGAGGAGGAGGCAGCCCCAGAGCGGCGCCGGTCCTTCTCACTGCTCTTGCCTCCCCGCTCCTCCGCGCTCAGTCCCTCGGAGTCGTATAGGACCTCGCGCTTGGGCGATGAGGCCGGAGCCGGTGAGGGGCCTCGGGGGTCAGGCTTGTCCGGCCGGCCCACGGTGATGGTCCGCTTGATGGCAAAGAGATCGTGGTCCGTGAGGTCCTGGATGGAGGGCGGCACGGCCCCCCGGCGGCGGCTGTCGCGCTCTCCGCCCAAGGAGGTGGAGCCAGAGGGCGGCTGGGCCGGGGCAGGGCCCTTCTCACTGTCCCCAGACCGCTTCTCGCCCCGGGACCGCGACCGCTTCTTCTTCTTCTTGCTGCCGCCGCCATCCCGGTGCTTGCCGCGGTGCCGCTCGCGCCTAGAAGACGACGACGAGGAGGTGGCCGGGGGCGGGGAGTTCGAGCGCCGCCGCCGCCGCCGTTTCTCCCGAGACCGGGACCTGCGGCTGCCCCCGCGGCGCCGGTCGGTGCTCCGCGAGCGGCGGCGGGCGGAGCGGGACCGCGAGCGGCGGCGGGCGGACGACGAGGCGTGGGAGCCCGGCTTGCGGTCCCGGGAGCGGTGCTTCTTGGAGTCCCAGGGGGAGGCCGGGGCCGGCGCGGCGGGCTGCGCGCCGGAGGAGGACGAGGCGGCTTCCTTGGCCTCGCCGCCGCTCCTCTTGCGCTCCCGCCTCGACTTCTTGCGGGTGGGCGGGCCAGTGGGGGCAGCGGAGGCGGGGGCGGCGGACGGGGAGGGCGAGCGCTGCCGGTAGCGCTCGCGCCGCTGGGTCAGGATCTTGCGGCGCAGGTCCAGGCCGCCCCAGCGCGCGTCTGCGGTGGGCGGGGCGGGGG